GCTTGATTCCTTGATTACGGCTTTGAAGCGTCACCAGAAGGCCGAGCAAGCGCTGCTGCTGATTGTAAACCCTGCTGAACAGGCCGTTTCCATAGTTTCACGGACAGACTGGGTCTGTAGCCCTGACCTCGCTCAGATCCGAGAGCAGAAACAATCTTTTCAGCAAATGCATGAAAATGGTAATGCAAACCTACCTAAGCACCACAAAGGTCTCAATAAAGATGTCATAAAAATAATAACGAAAAAACCACTGTTAACTGGAAAGTTGTTTTAAAAGCATAGTAAGTTCCAGAACACATTTTGAAGACATGGTGGAGGGCAGAAACAAATAATTCATTCCACTCATAATCGTACAGTACACTGTATACTCTCGTATAGGTATAAATAATCTTTGATTCATCAGTATGTTACAGAATAACCATAAAAGAAGAATAAGTTGCACTTGAACATTTTCAGTGCAGTCACTTTGCCATTAAGAAGAGCTTTATTGTTCATTCAGGACAGGTCACATTATAGAAACATTCTCGGCGCTGATTGTGGATTTGGGTCTGTATTGTCATATCACCACCACAGCACTGTGAGTAGCTGTATGCCAAGCAATGCTGTAAAAAACCTGCTCGTATGTAAAGCATCCTGGGATTCATGCCTGAAGAATTCCATATGAGATTATATGTTGTAACACGGCTCTGTTGAATACTAAATTCTGATTGGTTTAAATACATTCCAAGTGGGAGCGTTATTTCCCCGTAACTGCGGAACTGTTGAGCAGTTCCAAGCGTGCAAATTTTTTTTACTCTTTGTATCAATTTGCCACCTTTTAATTCTTGGCTAAGTTTAACTGTCGCTTTGTGTTTCAAAGTTACAAGCACCTGAAGTAAGGTATGAAATCGACATGAACAACAGGGTTGAATTTTCTGTTATAACTTTCAATATCTTCATCAATTATGATGATTATAACCACCGGGAGATGGGAACATTATGTCTATAGCTGAAGTACAGTATGCGGTAACCGTGGTATGACTGGAATGTAACAATTCCATACCGTTCATTATATTTAAAAAAAAAAGATATAAATAATTAAATAAATAACCACACACATAAGTGCTTCCAGTACTTTTTTGACACCACTTAAGCGTGTGGTTATTTTTGCATAACGATTAATGAGCGGCTTGTCATTGCGTTTCGCCTACTTAGGTTTTACTTTTTATAGATGGCTAAAGTTACCTTTATGAAGCACTGGATCTGGTGACGTCCGTCACACCGTCTGCTGAGCTTTTTTCCTGTCAAATCATTATGCTGAATTTGTTTACCCCAAAGAGACAGCTGTGGCAGCAGTGTGTCTTCCTGTGAATCCTGACTGCACTGTTGTCAGCCTCCTCCTGTTGGCTGCTCTATTTCTGAGCCTCTCTTCACTATTTGAGTTTGACAGTCCTACAGTCATACCTCATACTGCATAGGGGAAGAAATTCATCATTTCAATATCTACATTTAAAAAGAGAAAAAAGCCAAAGGCACTGATTCAATAGGTCTTTGTTCTCTGGGACTGACATCAGTTCTTGGATTTTACTTGCTATCTCTATTATTGTACAAAGAGTTTTTATATTATTATTTGCACTACTGCCTAGTACGTTAACTTTGTTGTTGGCAAGTTGTGAAATTGGGGAAAAGTTTGAGGGAAAAGATGGATAGGGGGGCTGTATCGCTCTGGCTGCCTATTGTATTGCACTTCGTAAAAATTTTTGTGTGATGATATCTCATGCAGATCTAAACTGTACTGAAACGGAATCTGGATCATTGTCAGATTGCGTTTTAGATGGGTCTGCTGTCATGTGCAGTGCTGTCTCAGAGGTCGCTTGATGTGGATAAAGACTAGACGAGCGCTGAAAGGCTCACCTACAGGCAAATGAGCACATCCTGTGGCTGCGATTTAACCCGCTGTTTCATGCGCCAATTTTCACCACGTCTCCCGTCGCTCTTGGATCCAATTAAGCCAATCTGCCTCGCACGATGCACTCCACTGCGTGTGAATCGCCAGCAACAGTACATATGGCGACAGAGAGGCAGAAACAGAATTATTTTGAGACCGGCAACCACTTGCTAACTTGTGAAGAAAAGTAGGACCTGCTCAGGGGGAAGCGTTTTCTGGAATCTTCTGAGGATATAAGATGTGTGGCTTAAGCGTCAGTCTGGGAGGGGTTATATTAGCACTCTGAAAGAACAGTTCCCTTTTCCCTGCTCTAGGGGCTGTCGCCAGCGAGGGGTCGCAAATTTTCGTCCTTGTGGGCCAGCGGCTGCAGGTGCTTTTATGGTTTTAATCGCCAGCCAGTGTGGACCTTGGAAAGATGACATTGTAGCAAATTGTGGTGAATTAAATTAAGCACTAATGTGTTTGAGCGCATCAAATTGAATACCAGCTGACACCGTGACCTACAGGATTTGAGTGTGAGTTTTCTGATCCATGTCAAGCTATATGGAAATTACAGGGACTCTATTGAGATGGGAAACTAATTGAAGAGCCTAGAGCTAAAAGTACTTAAGTCACATTTTGACACACTGTGAGGAAAGGATGGCAAAACATCTTTCATTGATTCCCAAGTCAATTTTCCCAAAGTCCTCATGACAGACATTTTGTTACTTAACCCTTTCAGTGCAATGACGCTTTTGAAAACCTATCATGTGTCAATTTTTTTAAAAGAGCTCCTGCAGGGGAGCTCTTTTAAACAAGTTGACACATGATAGGTTTTCAACAGCTCAGGATAACTACATTTTTAATTCCTTGAAAATGTATTCAGCACTCAAAGGGTTAAGTTCTATTAGCACTGGGGTCTTCAATAAGCAAATTTTATAGATCAATTATAAATTCGGACCCTTCAGTATTCAAATAGATATTTTGTGACTTAGGTATTTTCAGCAGCAGGGTCCCCAATAGTTCCATCAAATCAAGATTCAGTACTTTGTTGCCATGTCAGTGTAATTGTTTTGAATTTGTCTTGGTGACATTTTTGGAACCGTTAGTAAATTTTCATTGTTGCAAAAGTGACTGGCTTTTTAACTAATCCACACTCATTATGTGAGGCTCATGGTCAAACCCATACTGTCATCAGCAGAATACTGTTGTGTCTTTACATTTTTAGGCAAATCTTTGTTTTTTTTTTTTTTTTTTAAATGCAATTTTTATCATCTGAAAAGATTCATATATCCTTTGTCTCATCCAATCATTTGTCCCTGTTGGAGTCCTGGGGAGCTGGAGCCAATCCCAGTAGTTGGTGGGTGGAGGAGAAATGTAAACAGTAAACACTCTGGACAATTCGCCAAATTCATTGTGCCTGTTGACTATTTAAAGACTACACTTAGTTTGTGATGCATGTCCTTTGTCTGGGGGGTGGGAACTGGTTACCTGGGGACACACAGAGAGGACATACAGACTCCGCCCAGAAAGGACCTTGTCAAATTCAAACCCACATATGAAGTGGCAGTGCTTCCATACCCAGTGATAGTTTCTGATCTGTGGACATTTTACTCTATCTTTAATTGTCAGTGTTTACAGCTGATTATGTCTCCCCCCCAAAGGGAGGGGGGACATATTGTTTTTGTCTGCTTTCCTGTGTGTATGCACGTCCATGTCTGCGTTCTCACCATTTCCAGACCATAACTCAGAAACTGTTTGATATACACTATTTCAATGATAATTTGCACACATTTGCATTAGGTCATGCATTTTGCTATTTTGAGGTTATTAACTATTCTAGTTTCTTCTTAAATGTCTGTGAACATAAATGAGGGGCGGCTGCGTTGGGGTGGTGGGAGACATTTATTTTTTTGCCTTAAAAACAATCTCTAGTTTGAGTGGTGTGTCTGTTGCAGGCTAACTCTGTAATCAGGCATTTCATGAAATGCCTAAGGATTTTAGGCATTTCATGAAATGGCTGATTCAAAATTCCAGGCATCTCACAAAATGCCTGAAACGCAGTTTGCCTGTGACATGTCGACTATTTTGGGTTTATCTACCATCGTTGAAGCCTTTCTGAGATGGTTGGTTTCATCTGGAAATCTCAAGCCTTTTTGCTCCATCTCTATGCACCCATAATGTTAGCAAAGATGCTAACACGCATCATGTTAATGACTTCGGCCCTGAAGGAAATTTCCTAGTAAGCAAGCATAGCCAAAATTTCCCTTGCTGACATGCCTTTGTTGCTGTACATTATGCAAGCATATTGGAAAACAAAATAACAGCTACGAACACATCTAAAATTCTCCTCATATCCACCCCTCAGATGTGTTTCTTCCCCTTTCTGATGTTTCTAACCTCCTGAATTGTAATATACTGAAATGTATGGGAGTCTGTGAGCTTGAGGCAAATTCATATGGGTTTCACAAAGTGCATTTCAGCTTAACAGCTTGTGAGACAGCTTTACTGCTGGCATGAAGTGTTTGGTGTATTGAGGGCATCTTAGTTTCTGTGTTTAACATGTGCAGAATTCAATCGAATGGTGGATTGAGATTTGGCATTTCCTGCCGCAATCCTTTTCTGGCTCCCAGTCTGTCCATTATCTATACCACTTCTTCCTCACTAGAGAGATAGAGGCAGTCCCAGCTGACTGTGGGCGAAAGGCAGGGACACACTCTAGACAGCTCGCCAAACCAGCGCAGGCCACACACACCATTCACTCTCATGCTCAAACTTAGAGGCAGTTTTAGAGCAGGGGTCCTCAGTCTTACCCAGGGAGGGCCTGTGTGGGTGCAGCCTTTCATTCATGATGCCACTAATCAACCCTAAGAGTCTTTGCTAAAGACCTTGATTAGTGGAATCAAGTGTGTAACTACTTGGTTGCAATAAAAGACTGCACCTACACTGGCCTTCTTTGGGTAAGTTGGAGGACCCCTGATTTAGAGTCACCTATTAGGCTGACATGAGTGTCATTTGGACTGTGGGAGGAAGCCAGAGGACCTGGAGGAAACCCACGCGAATGTGGGGAGAACATGCAAGCTCCACATAGAGAGGCCCCAGGCTGGATTTGAACCCATGACCTTCTTGCTGTGAGGCAGCAATGCTAACCACTGCGCTACTGTGCCGGCCCTAATCCATCAAAACCCAAATTCAGAAAAAAAAGTCATATCTGCAGATCGGGCAAATACCTCATGTCAGCAACAGAGGGCAGCAACATGACTAGACAGGCAGCATGAACTTCCTGTGTGTTTCTCTGATGGATGATTGTAATTACCCACCGAGAGGCTTCGAAATGGGCCACAGGGGTTGTTACATTAATTATTGCCTGTGCGTAAATGTCAAAAACATACTCGCAGTATACCTTTTAAAAGCATCGCGGTTGTTTGGAATCATAAATAAAATTGCAATGCATCCCTATAAACTGGGGAATTGGTGTGCGAGTGGTTCTCCATAATTATTGCAGAGCGAGCTCTCGGCAGTAATAAAAACAGGAGGGTGTTCGAATGTCACCGAAACATGTTAAATATAAACACTGCAGTCAAATATTACATTTCAGTGCAGTGACAGTACACACAACTGTAGTGCATTAGAATCAAGACGTGTTTACACACACACACACGCCCACACACACATCCTCGCACCTCTATCCTTGTTTATTTTTTTTTTATTTAAACTTTATTTAACCAGATGAGTCAATTGAGAACAAATTCTCATTTACAACGATGATCTGGGCAAGAGACCACACCAGAAGCAGTCACTTAAAAAAAAAAAAAACATAAATGACAGACAGGCATATCAACAGGTACAGTGACATCATTACAATGAAGTTACTAAAAAAAAGTGCAACGATCTTAGACTGTTGAGTGTATCAGATTTTTGAAAGAGTGGAGTGGAATGAACGAAGTAAGTTTTAGGGTCTGTTGCAGAAGATTCCAGTCATTTGCGGCTGAGAACTGGAAAGAGGAGCGGCCAAAGGAGGTGCGGACTTTGGGGATAAGGAGATTGATGAGATTACTGGAACGTAAATTACGATTAGAGGTGTGAATATTAAGTAGTGACTATAGATATGAAGGGTTTTTTCCAATGAGAGTTTTGTAGATATTTGTGAACCAGTGGATCTGTCTGCGTGAATGGAGTGAGGGCCAATTAACCAGGGAGTAGAGGAAGCAGTGATGAGTGTTAAATGAGGAACCAGTAACAAAACGGATGGCAGAATAGTACAGAACATCGAGTTTGTGAAGGAGGGTTTGTGAGGCAGATCTGTAAACTATGTCAACATAATCGAATATTGGGAGTACTGACATTTTGACCAGGAGTTGTTTTACTGAAAATGTGAACAAGGATTTGTTGCGGTAAAGAAAACCTATAATGGATTTGACCTTGATGAGTAGTGTGTTTATGTGTGTTTCGAATGTAAGCTTGCTGTCGAGCCAGATGCCTAAATATTTGTAGCTGCTCACAAATTCGATCTCAATACCATCTGAAGAAGTGATTGTGAGAGGGTACTCAGTCTGCTGTAGGTGTCTGTTAAAGACCATGCACTTAGTTTTTTTGTGTTAAGTGTTAGGTGGAGATCCGCAAAAGCCCGTTGGACACTGTTAAGACCGACCTCTAATGTGGATAATGCAACATGAAGGGAGGAGTTGGATGTATAAATGATTGTGTCATCAGCATATAAGTGTATGTGAGAGTTATTTACGGCATTAGCAATATTATTGATGTAAATATTGAATAAAGTTGGGCCCAATATGGATCCCTGTGGCATGCCTTTGAGTAGGGGTAGGGGATCTGACAAAAGACCCTCCGCCCTCACTGATTGTAGGCGACCAGAGCAGTAGCTTTTCAACCACTCCAGAAAATTTTCAGAGATTCCCATATCTCTCAGCCTGTCCAGCAGTAATAGGTGGTCCACAGAGTCAAAGGCCTTTGCCAAGTCAACAAATGCAGCTACACAGTACTCTTTATTGTCAGTGACGCATGTGATGTCATTTAGTACTTTAACTGTGGCAGTGATGCAATCATCTGAGGACATTACATTGACTTCCATTCATTTTTTTGTGTGTCTCTACAGCCTTTCCATAATCTTAACAATAAGCAACGCATGCCTAACTCAAACGCTTATGCGCAAAGGAAGAAGCAACGGAGAGAACAGTTGAGCACAACATTGAAGTGTTAAATAAAGACTTGTCCCATCTTTTTCTGTCTTCAGTGCATGTATCATGTGAGCTAGAACGCCAGCTCTGCCCAGCCTCCATTTGAATCTGTTTTACTGTATGTGATCCGATCAGGAAGAATCTGGACACAAGACCACTCTTTCCATCTGTCACAGAGACACATGCAAGCTTTTTTTGCTTGCCTGGCTGTATTTCATTTTTATTTAATTGAAATTGAATGGGACCAAAAAGTTCAAAACTTTGGGGATAAATTTCTCATGGACTTTATTTGTCAAGAGACTTCCTTGCACTATACTCTAAGGGCCTGATTTACTAATACCTTTAGCACATGCAAAATCTTTTTTGCCCGTGCAAAACCAGAAACCTTGCCACTGATTGGTGCAAGGCAAGTACCCTGGCCAATCATGGGCAATGTTATTGGTTTTGCACAGGCAAAAAGATTTTGCATGTGCTAAAGGTCTAGTAAATCAGGCCCTATGAGTATGTATTAACCTCTTTGAGGGACGGTTTGAGTCTTCAGCGATCGGACATGTAGCCAGTTCACGTTCCTTGAAGTACAGTAAACATACAGTACCACGGGCTGCAGCAGTTTCAGAAGCTCTGTTGTGCTTCACATTGATGGACAGCAGACTGATGTTCACAGTGCGATCCATTTAATTTCCTGTCTTTTCAGGTTTTTGACAGATTCAAACAGTTACCTTAAGAGATGTATTTTTTTTGTTTTCTAAATTAATTATTCTGCTCAGAACAATATAAGGTGGATTGTGTGAGTCATGATCAGAACAGAGCAAGCTAACATTGAAATTATCAAGAAGTTGTGCAGGTATTCTACTCCAAAGGATACTTTCAACCAACAATTCCTGTTTAATGGATTACTGCAATACAGAGAAGACACAGCCATTATTGCTTTGGATGGAAAACACTGCCAAAAATACCCGCTTTAAGAGCCATTGGCAGCTGTCGATGAAATAGTGTTGAGCTTTTGTGCTCTCTTATATACTTTTATGCTGAGATCATAATTACACATTCAGCCTGCAATAAGACTCTATACAGTGTTGCTCTTATTATTCATATGTAGGCTGATAAAGACTCACTTTGTGAGATGTCTTGAAGATGGTGGTTAACAGAGGCTTGTAATGTATGTTTGTCAATACTATACAAGAGAGTTTGGTTTGAATGCACTTAACGGATGAACATGTGTTGCAAGTGAATCTTGATTACTTGTTTTTTTATCATCAGTGAAGGAGAGCTGCCATTGGGCATAGCATATGTAACAAAATAGCTTCACAACATATGTTTCCTCTGGTCTGAAAATGTGTTTTTTGCACATATTGACAAAGTGACTAACCGAACAGCCGGGAAGTTAAAGGTAATTGGAGAAGTGACCTGTCTTGACATTGAATAAATATTTAATTAAACCCATTCAATTTTACTGTACTTCAATGCTTGTTCCATTTCCACTCATCTCTCAGTGTCGGTGCGTGAAATGAAATGGTCTACAGCCTGCTGGGGGGGTACAGAAGGTGTTTTTGAATATATAGTTTTTGTCTGTGTGCAGTGTGTCATAGCGTTGGATTATCTGCTGCCCTCATTCAAAACCAATGTCATCAGCAATGGCCAGACATCATGGTACAGACTGACAGTCCTGCTGCATTGAGTTTCTAATTACCTCCAGGAGGTTATGTTTTCATCTCCGTTTGTTTGTTGGTTTGTTTGTGAAAAGAATAACTCTAAAACTAGGATAAAACTTGGTAGAAGGATGAAGTATAAGTCAAGGACAAACTGATTGACTTCTGGTGCATGTACATCAAAGGTCAAGGTCAGGGTCGCCCTTTTAAGTAGTAACCCTGGGTTTTTGTGTAGCCTGCGTAGCATTAGGACCCTGGGGTAAGCAGGAGAGGATAAAGAGGGCGTGAGTTAATGGCGATCTACTTGCATTCTGTGAGTGGATCAGGAGAGTTACAGCTCGCGTTTGTGCTAGTGCCCTAATAGGCGTCTGCCTTTAATACTGGTAGCGCTGTTGGCGGAGGTATGCGCTGTGCTGAGTGCTTTCAAGTTATTTATTTTTTTCAAAGACTAAACCAAGCTAAATACATCATCGTCAATATTGGATGAGTACATGCTGCTACAATATTGCTGAATACAGTTACCTGGGTAACGGGGATGAGCAATAGCAGAGATGTAGCAAAGTAAGATCATTAAAATATTGTTAGTTCGAAGACAGCCATTAATCTTTTGTTGATGGTACTTGTTGATGTAGAATGACAGATCTTTATTTATCATGGAATGTTCAGTGCTGGCCATGCGGCTAGAACATTACTTTCTAAAGTGAGAAAATGGTTATATGCCATTCAAAGTCAACATCAGTCTGCACAATGCATCTCTGAAGCTAGATGGGTATTTTCAGCGAGATACGTGATCTTCAATCTTCAGGTAATAGTTCATTTTTCATAATGAAAAAATACATCATTATTTTGATTTAAAACAAAATATTCTGCTTTTATGTCACAGTTCAAAAATGCAAGTCGGACCAATGTGGGGAAAAAAAAAAAAAAAAAACTGCAAAAAAGTAGGCCGAACCTGTGCTTTCATGTTTTTGGTAACGCTGTGGAACATCGCACCATCTCTTTCATGTTTAGCCTCTGATTCCCATTCTGTAATTACTTCTCTTGCTCCGAAAGTTGATGGCTTAAATTTCCCCGATTTATAAGTGACTTTAATGAGTTTGAGAATCTGAACATCAGAAACGCAGATGGCGATCATAACTACAGAAGCATGGCGGTCGCGATATTCATCCTTTAAAGAGGAGTGCAATTATCTCACTGAATAAGTCAGAAGATTGTGGATCCATGAGGTCTACAAACTTTCCTCATAATCCTACTTACGGCTTTCGGTGAACAATCACATCATAGCCGGATGCGTTTCCTTAATATCTTCTCGCATCTTAGTGG